CTTTATGACTAGAAATCGTGTAAGTATCAACATATATAATGCAGGGCATCAAGTCTTGGCTGGCTTGAATCTGTTTACATATGTACCGTCCAATTTTCGCCTTAACACGGGATTTACTTTCTTCATAACCTTTAACTCTGAAGGCTCGAGCTAGGAATTTTCATACAACTCGCAATAAAGAATGTTAAAATCTTTCTATAAAGCATGTTTAATACACCAAATATTATAACTTGTGATTTTAGTATTCTTTCTAGACCGGTTTTGCATGTCAGTTTTTCCACATGTTTATTCGAATTGTAAACAGAAAATGCTTTCAGTCGAATTCGATTTTAGAACTGTTTACTTTCAGACTAAGATCTTAAAAAGTGTTTTACATAATTAAACCAAAAACATCACATATATACACGTCTCTTATATCTTATCGAGCACATTTGTGTTTTGTAAATAGAAAATTAATATTTTAATACTGTTAAAAAAGTGGTATATTCGAAAGCCAGTTATAATTAGGCGCTTTTTGTTGTTATGTTAAAATAATATAGATTCGTATACTATAGAATAATTTGAATATTCTATGTACATAACATATATAAATTTATAATTTTTCTTATTACCTACCATTAAAGCGTTAACATTCTCTTTTAACAGAGACCACTACTTTGATTCTGAGTCTTCGATAATCTCAAACAAAGCTTATTTTCACCGTTTTCAAGACATAGAAACGCTGTTCGAAAAGGTGAAATTTATGCACGCTGTTATCGTTACCGAGAAGACGATTCTCAAGTTCTGTCATCAACAAAGATATCAATGGACAATTTATGTCCAAATGTTCATGCACATTCATTTTCTGAACATACCAACATTAAGAAGAACTCATCCAATGTGCATTGTAGTAGTGTAGCATATGTTTATGTTAGTGGCGTCATTTTTTGCAGTGGTAAACAGTTACCAGTATGTTAGAGTATAGTCGGTGTTTGATTCATTTTCTTGCACATTACTTATTAAGCATGTTTTGAAAAGAAAATGTGAAAAACAACTTTTTCATTTTTTCAACAAGCTATTTTTTTATGATATTATCGAATGTTTACAACTTCATTAATAACGGCAAAATAACGTTATCCGAAGAACGTAATTCAGCAATAAAAGTTCGCGGAAATGATGTCATTTAAAGTACGCGACTTATCTCATACGGGGTGTAAGACTATAGGAATCTTACACCGGCTGCCGGTACAGACCGGAATATCTAGCTCGCGGATTACTGTTTACGGCGGTAACGAGGCTCTAACGATTTTCCGCTAAACAGTAACCCTCGAGCTAGATATTCCGGTCTGTACCGGCAGCCAGTGTAAGATTCCTATAGTCTTACACCCCGACAGCCGGTGTTTGATTCTTTTTCTTGCATATAACATATCAATTATTTTTAAACAGAAATTACAAAAACGGATATTCTCATAACGCACTTTTTACTTATAGTAGCGTATGAACTGACAATTTCATTCATAACGGTTAAGCGACGTCATCCTAAGAACGCAATTCATTCATAAAAGGCTCGCGTCAATGACGTCATTTAAAACACGCGACTTGTCCTACATGGGGGTGTAAGATAAGAGTTTTCTAGCACCGGTGTAAACGGTAGATAATCCTGTCTGATATGCAAGAAAGCTTTTTTTCTAGCACTTGTGTAAATAGTAGATAATTCTGTATGATATGCAAAAATCTTCTGCTGATACCAGATCCGAAAATTTAAAAAAAGTTTATTTTGTAAAGTGATTTGTTATGTCAAAATAAAAAGACAAAAGTCCCTTCAGTGGTCTCATTAGCGAGTTTTTACTGTAATACTATTTGCTTTCTGCTTTTGAAGATGGTTGGGTACTGTTTTAAAACATATTGTTTAGAGGAGGTACATTGCTCACATCTGTCATGCAGACCTGATTTTGCTTCATGTTACTGTTACTGTGTTGTCTGTTTTACAATACTGAATAATTGGTAATTATAAAAATAAGTAAAACAAAAATAATGATTTTTGAAAACAGAAATTGACTTTTATCAAATGAGATATGTTTTTTTTATTCATATGATCGTAAGACTCTTCTGATAAAAATCCATGTACTTGTGTTGTTGTTTGTGTTTATATATTGTGTACTTGCTATAAACATGTGTTTGTTTAATGCAATAACATTTCGAAGTTGAAGTTGAATAATTGGTTCGTTTATTATATAATCGTAAAATCCTTTCATTTAGCTGTTGAAATCCTAACTTTATTTAGTTCTCTTAATGAGATATAAATATGAAGGTATCGGTATGGGTCAACAAAATACATGAAAATATTGCTATCATCAATGTTAAATGTATATTACAAGTCAAATATAATAACAAACAAATTATCACAATGATTTATCTATATCAATTTTAACATAGCGTTATCTATGAAATGATATCACTTTAAATAAACAATAAAAGTATTTCTTAGTTATCTTCGTATTCGTTTTACATACAACATTAAAATTGTAATATTAATTTTAACCGTTTATCAAACTTTTAATTTATCTTTAGATAATAGGTATAGATGAATTGGTTTTAAATGACAATATACAATTGTTCTTTCATTTTAAAAGCTTCATTTAAAATTAAACTTCCGTATTTTTGAACGCATGCTAAGGTTTTATATAGACACATTGGGAATTGCAAAATTACATAACAACATTTATTTAAACTTTGCATGATGACAATATTTTAAGGCCACCAACATCGTTTTCGAGTGATACGACTTAAGCCTTTTTTTTAGGTCATTTTAAGGCAAAAATGAAACATAAGTCTCACAAACTTTATTTAGAATCATTATTAAGAAAATGTGTCAGACATTTAGTCCAAATGGGAGCATTTGTAAATTCAAGTCTGACTAGCAGCATTTTCTTTTTTTTTCTAAAAAATATGTGACAAATACTGACTTTTTAATAGAAATAAGCAAAACAAAAAAGGTTAAGTATCTAATGCATTATATAGAATTGTAATACTTATATTCCATATTTACAACTGTTAAATTGAACTACCTATCTATATTCCGTTAATGTCAAACCCCTCGCGGGGACGTGGGCATGTCTGCGCGTCAAAAATCGCAAAAAAAGTTTAAAAGAGGATAAAAGAATATTTTAAAAAATGAACCGCTGGTATCCTGTGCACATAAACTGTTGACCGGTCAACATAGCCAATCGTTGATGCACTGCATTATATCCTGATCCCTTTATCGTTTTAGATGATAAAACATATTCAATCTCCCTTCCGGAAAAAAAGATGATCCAAATGGGAACATTTAGCAAGTACACAATGGGGAAGTATCCTATTATTGAACATGTCTAATTAGGTGAAACCTTAAGTTAAGACTATGTTGAAGCAGAGAGCTACTGTTTCGAAATATATAGTGCAAACTTTCTAATGTTCAAAAAGAAAAATGTCTTTCTACATGATTCTATAAACTCTAATTAAACTTTAATTACTTTATTGATCTAAATATAAAATTAATAAAAGAGTTTTAACACAAGTTCTTTGACATATATTTTGTTCTGCAAAACTCTTCATCTTTTTACAACTGGCGTATTATTGGAGGAAAAGAAAAGTCCTACCGTTTCTATTACATACACCTTGCATCAAATTTCAGTTGATCTTGCCAAATTACATTTCAGAAAAGTAGGTAAGTTTTCGATCTCCATTTTATACTTGTTTTTGTAATTATAAGTATATCCAGATTCGAAATGGATCTATTGATGTTCACAGAATCCATGGTGTTAATCAAACAGCCATACATTTTAACTGTTTTTGCGGGCGACGGTTAAATCTAACTAGGTAAAGGCCACAGAAACGTTCGCCCAAAAACAACAAAAAACAAAACAACAACAACAAAAAAACCCAACATGTTCCCACCAATTGAAAAAGGAAAAATAATTGAACATGTTGTTAAGATGATAAATTTAAACACATCCAGTTGGTTTATTTTTGAACAGCAATATACCCTTCAATATACCCTTCGTTTCGAATTGCAAAAAGTAAAAAACAATATTATCTATGCATACGCATTACATTAAATTTTGATGTAATTATGGTGAGTCAGAAATTTTTTTTATAAAGTAATAAATAGATCGCGAAGGTATGGACAAAATTATACAATCAAAAAGCTTTATTGAATAGCTTTATCGAACCCAAAGCCCAAAATAAATGATCGGATCCAATCTAACAGGTATAAATAGTGTTTCAAAAATCCGAAAATCGTCTTCCATCATTAAATGTGCCGTATCACGTAATTATCGATGGCGCGTTTTTATTTTTATTATCATTCTCTAATGAATTATAGGTCCACCGAGTAATCAGTTAGATGCTATCTTAGGTCTGTTTTGTCAAGCAGAACGAAAGCATTTTTAATATATATATATATATATATATATATATATATATATATATATATATATATATATATATATATATATATATATATATATATATATATATATATATATATTATATATTATATATACTTTAATTTTTTATATCAAACTCAAGTGAGCGACAAGTCTGCGCGATGAGAATCTGTGGAGTGTGATTTATGATAATTTACGATATTCTTTAGAGTAAGCTAATTTACAAATGATCAAACTAACACGTTACCATGTTTCCATAACGTAGAAATGGTGTGTTCATCATGCGGACAACTTTGTAATAGTTTGAAAGCTTCCACACGCATATAGAACTTTGATTACTTAAAAGTAGGGATTATGAACGTCTTGTTTAGCAATATAACAAATAAATTATACCAATATGAAATCTTCTCATAATTATAACTTCCTTTTATTTAATTTCATAACTGTATTATTTGAATGAAAATGTTAAAAAAGTTTAATCTTAATAATACTTTCAACTTTGATTATTCTAATAAAATTACATAATGCCTTAAATGTTTATATCAATTTAAACGCGTAGTTTGACGGAAAGAGCCGAACAGTTACGATATGGATTTCGATCAATCCAGTCTGCGCATGTTCAGAGCGTCTGACCTAAATACATTTATCAGGTACACAGCAGACGAGGTCTGATTCAAGTGTTTAATGTTTTGTTTTTACTAGAGGTTAACATAATCGAGGATTTATTCTTCTTTCCGATGCGCAGGAAGATAAAATTATCTTTTAGCAAAAATGAAGACCAAAACTCAAGGTGACCCTGAAAGTGCAAACGGAATTAAAAATGTACTTAAGGTAATATTTTCTGTTAATATTATACTTCCTTTTTTAAAAACGAAATGAAGTAGTGTTAAATTCATAAATATATGTTCTGGTCTATTGAATAGATTTCTCGTTTAAAAGGCGGTAGTAGATGTGATTTAAAAATAGAAGTCGACGAGATTTCTGATTCATCAGTTTATTTTTTTTCCTTGGTGTTCTATTCATGTATGTTTTCAGAAAATATTCAAATATGTTATCATTATTTTCGTATGCAATGTATTCTAGATTAATATATTGTTTTCATTGTTTTATATCTGAAACAAGCTTTATCAAAATTTTCATAGATGATTAAATGAAGTTTATCGACAATATAGTCTATTTTGTTATCGACTAGGTTACATACAGGGAGTTTACTTTTTTATATTTATACTACTCTCAGTTCTCTCCCTTGTTTTATTCATTTGACTGGAGAATAAGATTTTTTCATACCTATATTTACCTTAAGAAACTAGGTACAAGTTCGTTTTGAAGAAATGGGATAGTGCTGTACGCAGGTAGTTCTGGCTTCCAAAACTTGAATAGCCGCTTTATATTTTTGTTGACATAAATGCATCATACTCATTACCAAACCTAACAAAAATAATTTGCACACGCGTGACCTTTTCTTCATAACAAAAAATATATCATGTGAACTTATGGATTAAAGAAAATGTTAAAGTCCTTACATACCATTTTAAATAATGCAAAATATAATATAGCAAACTTTTTTGTTTCTTTTCAATACAGCAGATCGGCATGCAATGTATCTTTTCAAATCGACAGCCAAATTTATATAAGTATAATTTATATACTAAGCACATACATGTGTTAAGTGAAATTAAAATTATTTCTTTCTTGAACGGAAAACAAAAGCTATATGCACAATAATAACAATGATATGATGGCGATGATTGCAATTATAACAGTTATGAAGTTATAAAACCTATGGAAATAATAAAAAAACTACGCCCACCTGTAACTGAAAATACACAAAAACATCTATTTAAAATCTTCAGTCATTTACATACTATTAAAAAACGATTGAAAAATATATAAGAATTTTCATTGACTTATTTCAGAAATGGGTTTTCATAATATGTATCGTGCTTGTTATTGTGGAGTTGGTCGTTCTGCTATTTCTTGTTGTAACCTGGAGAGTTCAAAGAGATAATCAGTTGGCACCTACACAACAGCAGATGTGTTACCCACGGGTCAAGTTAATAGTAGACGATAATACAGCTTGTCCGGAGGGACTCGTGTCTAAATTTGATGAAGCAAAGAATGAAACAACCTGTTGTGGAAAACTGAGTGAAGTTTTAAATTCGGTCTTGAATAAGGTATTCATTGATTAAGAAATGTTAACCATACTAATTTTATTAGATCTATTCTACACTTATACACATATATACACACTAAATATAAAAGTACAATAATGAAGATCTTCATTCTTATAGATTGGTATAATTATGTAATAGTGTAAATGTAAAAAGAGCCTCAAAGTAAGATATTGTGCTAAAATGTAAAATACAGGTATATATTATCAAATGTTTTGCTTTAAGATAAGTGTTATATTTCAGAGTGTGTTTGACAGATATAACAGCAAAATAAATCCAGGTGAGTATATTTCCATTGTCCATTTAATGTTTACAAAAAAGCACGAATCTTGTTATATATATCTTTTAATAATTAAGTAGAATGATAAGTAGAAATTATATTTCGATTATATTTCTATTTGCATGCAAGCAGATTAAAATAAAGTTGTGTTAAATCTCGATAATTGATAGATCGATATAGCTTGTCTGGTCTTTTGAATGTAAAACCGGCTTACTGTTCTCGATAGCGTAGTACATTCTTTTATTTTTTGTACATCAGACGTTATTATTTACTGTTAACACCGGTGCTAGAAAAACCTGTCTAAGACAAGTCGGGTTTTTGTAATTTCATCCGAAATATAACTTTGAATTGATATGCAAGAAAAAGAATCAGCTGTCCTCATAGACGGGAATATCTAGCCCTCGGGTAACTGTTTAGCGTAAACGGTTACCCTCGAGCTAGATATTCCGGCCGGTACCGGCAGGCGGTGTAAGATTCTTATAGTCAATGGTTACTAATTGTAAGATATCATTGAAATTGCTTTCTTCATTTCTTTATCCGTTGAAACAGAAATAAGAACATATAACCCAGAGGCGTTTAACTGTAAGGCAGCAAATCAAGATCTGTCAGTAACAAGACTAACTTTGGCACAAAACAAGAAATCAGGTAAATCCTTGCTTTATATCAAATTTTTAGGAAAAAATATGTCGATCGGATAGCAAATTTATCAACACAATAATGTTTAAAATAGAGACAGAAACAAACTGCAGACTTTGTATTGTGTTAGGCGAACAATTTCTATATTATTGAGAAAGTTATAATGTCTTTTTGATAATATTTCATCACGTTTAGATCTACATAACAAAAACATTAACATATGCTAAGCCATATACACTTAAAAACTTGCAATTAGAAATTTTTTAAACTTTGTGTGAAGTGATTATGTACGATATATCTGCTACTATAAAACAATTCAACATATAAAACTGGTGATTTTTAATTTTCATAAGCATTCTTTTGAATATAAACTTCCCGACAAGAAATGTAATCTCGGACTCCTGTGTTACAGACACAATGATACCCTCAACGATAATATGATGTAGTCCCTATTAATAAAATATAATATTATGCAATGTTTAATAGACCTACATGTACATTCGTTTGCTTTATCAAAGGGACACAGCTGTCTTTGAAAAATATTTTATCTTTACAGAATTTACTATTTCGCAAATGTTTTCGACAGAATGGTTAGTGGTAGGAAGTTATGCAATTAATATATCTTTTCATTGCAGTTCCTGTAGATTCGGCTCATAAATTGTATTGGGAAAAAGACCCTGCGTTGCCTAAACTTTCTGGATTAATGTATTCGGTAGAAGATGGTCAAGTGTTTGTTGAGGAAACTGAAATTTACCATATTTTGTTACAGCTAAAATTAAATATGAGCAAAACAACGGGTGTATTGGATGAAAAAATAAGGCATAAAGTACATTTTATATCTGATAGCGGTGCGTCAGCAGTTCTGCTGGAAGATGTGACGTCACCATGCACAATGAGGTCACATTCTGCAACAGAGAAAGCCAGCGTTGTTGAAGCTGTGTTTCGGCTTAAATATGGCGATCGACTATATGTGACTACAACCCATCCTGAAAGTATCTTGACTGATCCACACAATAATCATTTTAGCATATACAGAGTTTAAGTGCCAATGGTTCTATATTGGATAAATATCTCATTTGTGATGATTAATGTTAAGATCTAGATCTACTAATTCTAGATCTACTAATTTATGCACATTGTAGTTATTCTAAATCATCATAAACCCGACGTTCAATGAAATTGTGAAGTGTGTGAAGTGACCTATTATTTCTGTACGATATATCTGCTACTATAAAACAATTATAAATATAAAACTGATGATTTTTAATTTTCATTAAATACAGATACCGTCTGTAATACATACTTGGAAATCTAAACAAAATTCAGCGATTGAATTTTTGTTAATCAAAAGTGGAAGTATATTGATCACTGTTGATGAAAGAATTATTAGATCTATATCAATTATTTAGATTCACATTGTTTTCTTAATTAATCATATCAATAATTCAGGAAAAATGAATAAAAAACAAAGACATAGTCATGCTTTCACGCTTATGCAATGTAAGTGCCAGACTATATACAATTGGGAGAAATCTGCGTCTTTAGACAGAAAAACAAATTCTGGGATTGAAAAAAAACAACAACAAAAAACAAACTTAAATTCACTTTGGCTGACATGGTAGATCGTGCAAAGAAAATCGAAAAGCAGTCTAAACAGAGGCAGCAGCGACATTGGTCAACAAAAGTACTTATAGTACTAAGCTGATCAAGCAGGCAAGCTAAGAAAAGGATGGAATCGAAATGTACTTCACCCAGTGACCAAAGTAACATTTATAAGGTCCCGCAGAAAGCAAAGGAGAACGCGGACCTTATCAGCATTGAGGGAAACTATATATCGCCTGACAAATCGGTTGTGGCCATATTTACATTTTCAAAATACATCTGATTTAGTGGAAAATCAAATGCTTGTATCAATAGGCCTTCTGAAGTTGTAACTTTGAAAACAGTTTGGATATCTTGTCAATATGTTGTAGACTTTCATCGCATTTATTATAGACTAAGACTGACTAAGTTATTTTTAAAAGGACATCATACTGGCATATATTCTAGAATTAAAATTAACGAGACAAAAAGGTATTGTTTACACTAGAACACTTAGGATATTGAACATGAATATCATTTCATGGCATAATTATATGAAGTGAACGAAACTATTCAAAAATAAAATGTGCTAGTGTAAAAATGTGAACGTCATAACTGAAACAGTAACATTGAGTTGAATATACCAAATTACCCAGATTCGTTATGGAATGTGTTAAAGTAAGAAATACGATACAATATACGTTACAATTGTACGTAGAATATAACAATTATACCCTGTACCTGATGTGATATGAAGCTGATTGATTGCCTGTTTCATAACATATCAACTGTACTTAATATTTTGAAAAAAAAAAAAAATAAATAACACATGATTTACTTACCTTTATCCATGTTGAATAATGAAATTTATTATATACCTGTATGATGAATGTTTTAAATATTTATTGCATGATATCTTATAATACTTATTGCATGTATTTCAAATACGACCCTGCAGAAAAAAGCTCGAGTAGGATCCGGATAGACGTTGCTAGTGTTATACCAAGTACATTATGGCTAAAGGGTAATTTTAGGAGAAACTGGATCTATTACTTGTTTTATCAGAACTGATCACAGACGGTGATACCGTGTCTCATGAGATCATATCCTTGTAAACCACCGCTCGAGTAAAGAAAAACAAGTTCCAAAATCAAGAAACTGTAATATTACTCTATTAACGACGGAGCGGGTCGTTCGTGGCCGATGACTTCAAAAGGCTTGCCTCTCACTGCTGTGAGTTCGTATGTGAGAAAGCTATCCAGCTAGCTTTCGGAACGTCGGTGGTTTTACTCAGATGAGAGCTTGTTCCCGAAACAATAAACAGAGGGGAGCTGGAGCATCATCATATGACCTATACTGTGTGGTAGGGACACTTAACCCAATGAAAATAATTACGACGCATTACATAATGTAATGAAACATTTACAGACTATCATTTTTGTACAGATAGAGTTTCAGATCTTTGCTTCAGAATGTTACGTTTTTATTCAAGCAGCAGTTTTTATTCTGAAATTGATTATGAATATTTTAGCTATGCAATTACAATTTTTGCTCATACAGTCTAATGCTATTGATAAACATGAATACCCGATATCGTAATTGAGGCAAAACGAGTATGTTTGCTGCCTGTGTTTTGCTTTCTATATGAGAGTTGTGTCCAACAGTGAGAACTTTGTTACATGTATTTAACGCATAGACATAAAAGAATGGTAAATCAATGTGGAATGTTTAAACAATTAAAATATACATTATACATTGTATTGGCTAAAATATTTATCAAATTAAGATAAATGAGTTAGCGGTAAATATTTTAGGAAATCAATAAATAAAGCAAAGGCATTAAAATTTGTATAATTATTAAACATTTCTGTTATTTAATTATTATAATATTTCAAAAAACCGTCCAACAGTGGCATTACAAGAACCATATATCAAAAAAGACGTTCATAGAAAGTAATTGTAAAAACCATGATATCATTTATGATAGACAAAAATTACATAATCATTTTATAATACCAATCGATCATTTCTACAAATCATGACACTTACATTCCTGCTTTCAGATTATGTGTATTTGGTATGTAAATCTGTTATGAAATACCTATTTAAGATAAACATTTAGTCACTTTTGTTGCAATTTTGCGACGCACGATAGTCCTTATCTATGTGTGACCGATAGCGTCCATTTTAAAGCCGTGAGACTTTTAAATCCGCGAGATTTTATGTCGAAATTTTATAAAATGAATGTCGCGGTTAATAGAACTTTTGAGTTCCTTCAACACTTGCAATAAATGACGCGGATTTCTTCCTCTTCTTCGACTTTTTATAGACAAATGAGGGATAGAATGTAGTCTAACGATGAACGCTACCTGCCGCTGAAGTCAAAATCTTCTTTGCTGTTTCAAACAACTGTTATGATAAAAAAAATCGATCTTTGACATTTTATCTCGCGGATTTGTTAGTTGCCTGATAAAACGATAAATTACTAGCGGCCACAATGCTCATCGCAAGTTTAAGCATATCTACTTATATAAAACAAATTCGCATAAGCGTTTACAAAAGTCATACCTTGTAATATATTGCATAATGCAATAGTAAGAGTGTTAATCTTAGACAGAGGATATGTTAAAAAGGTAAATAAAATTGTTAAATACATATGCTAATAAATCATAACTTTAACTTTTAACAAAAATTAACAAAACGTAAACAAATTATAGGAATGAACACGGTATTGGAAATTTGAAAATTTAATTTTCATGAAATGAAGATCTTACAACGATGTTTGATCTTAATATTGTATCCTTCCCGTGTATTAATTTTAAATTAAAGCACATAGCATTTTTAATTAACAGAATATTAAGCATTCGTCAATTCTAAAATCTAAAATAAAAAAAACTAGTAGTAAATTTCTATATTAAAACGAACAGGGAATATATTATGAGTTATGCAGTATACCGTCTTCCCTTTTATATATAACTGGACTCCCAAGAAAAGCGGCGAAATCTGGACTAGCAGATGAAATTTGACATATAGAAGGAGGGTCACTCTTGTAACGTATTCCTTGGCAAAATGAATAGTGCATTCGCTGATATATGCAATCAATATTATAAGTGCATTCAACAACGGTTTGAAGGGGCTACAGTTGTTTATGATGGTTATCTTTCTGGCCCAAGTATCAAAGACGTAACGAATATCAGACGGATAAATGGAAACATGTTAAGTTTTCACTTGAGCCCAAAGAAGAGAATTTTTTAAACGACAAAAAGAACAATATTTGACGAGTTAAGAAGTAAAAGCAATCTTTGCTTAAGACGTCGCAGATTGTCTTATAGTACATACAGCTATTTCCGAGAGTTTAATTCAAGATACAGCAGTGATAGGTGAGGACACAGATTTACTGGTATTGCTTTGTTGTCATGCTAATCTAGATTCCCACGATATATCTTTCATAAGACGTGATATATCTCATATACCCAAGCTACGGTATATTCCTAAGAAAAAACAAGTGTTGGGACACGAAGTATGTTATTCTCTCCCATTCAACCATGCTATCACAGGTTGCGATTCGACATCCCACATGTATGGCATCAGTAAATTTACCGGTATCCATTTGTTCAAAAAGGATTCCAAGTTTCTTTACTTTTCAGGTATATTCATCAAAGGTTCTTCAAGAGAAGTTGTGACAAGTGGAGAAAGTGCTATTGTTTTATTATATAGAGGCGTTGTATATGAAGGACTTAATGTGTTGAGGTTTACAATTTTTTTAAATAAGGTTTTACATGCTTTCAACCACGTTCAAGTACAAACCTTACCTCCAACTTCCGCTGCTGCAATGTATTATAGTTTACGAGTGTACTTACAAACACAAAGTTGTCTTGGAAACAAAACAATTGCGCCTATGGAGTGGGGCTGGAAACTCTGCAATGGAAGCCTTGAACCAATCATAACTAGTCTACCACCAGCACTGGAAACATGGCTGAAGATAATTAAGTGCAACTGCAAAAAAAAATTTGCGATACAAAGCGGTGTACATGTCGTAAACACGGATTAGAATGCTCTTCATGATGCGGTACATGCCATGGTGACAGTTGTGTAAATTCGCAATCCATTGACGATAACGATATTGATGAGAACAAAATGCTAGTTCTCGTTGTTTAAATTACTTACCCAGGGTATTTTCTAGGATCTGAAAAATAGGGGCGATTTTTATCGAAAATTAGAATTTATTACTTTGTTGATCTTTTCCCTTCTTTTTCTATGTAAACTTTTCCCCATGCCTCTGAAAAAATACGGGGGAATTCTCAAAAATATGAGTGAATCCCCTAATCCACCTCCTAGAATAGACACTGCTCACCACAAAGTTATTACGTACAGACGCAATTTAATTTCGTAATATGCAAAAATTATATGTGTTTTATTCTATGAAAGCACTATGTACACATGAACATTTTTCAGTCAGGCAACCGAAGTACATAGACTTTTGTGTATTTAAAAAATGTATAATTCTATTGATATCTAAAATAGTTATATGTCACTATTTTTTAAAGATATGTTAAGGCTGCAAAATAAATTTGTATGTATAATTATGTTTAATGTTCATCGTTTGAAAACATTACTTAATACACATTACGGGTAAAGAATAATCATGAGAAATAATATAAAGGACCGTGATATAATTGAAAACAAATATTGAACTTTCCTCTGATTTTAATGTTCATTAGCAGTTATACACTTATATAAGTACTGCTGTTTAAAAAAAGTTCAGCTGTATTTGTTTCACATGAAAAAAATGTTAACTGACAAAACTAAAGATCTATATTGTAAAAAAATGGGTGGGGTAAATTTTTTGACCCCCTCATATTTTAATGTAAAAACGATTAAGATTATTCATGTTCTTTTATTTGATAATAGTGTTGAGGAATCTGCTCAGCGAAATTTTCATTTAAGTATTTTAGTGATAATTTACTACATTGTCACCTTAAGTGTTTAAAAGTATCAAAAGTAAGTAATAACAATGTTCTTTTCTTCTTACAGGAATAAATCAATTGTATGTACTAGTCTTTTATTATTAGCAACACTTGCTTCGAAAACTCTTTGTGTTCCTCAAGAAAGATGCAATTTAAACGAATACCAAGACACATTATTTTGTATAAATATAAGTTCAAAGATAATGAGTTTTTACATGTTTAATTACTTTCTTATTTTTCTTGTTTAAATATATATATGTAGCTTAAAACTAACATATGATGAAATAGAACTGAACAAATATTGAATGCTATTTTAAATACTTTATGATTAAATAAAATTTTAATGCAAAAATACGGAACCGAACTGAACATAATTAAACCATACAATAATAAATAGTGTAAAAGGTTGGGTATGTTGTTGCAAATGTTGTTTTAAGTTGTAGTTCTTCTCATTTTCATTGCATGCTTACTTTATATCATACCATGAGAAAAGTATTTAATGCTTATTAAGTCATAATTTATGGCGTACATATACTCTTTTACATTTTAAGATATTTAATCCCTGGAACATTAAGGTTAACTATACAGTGGATGATGAATACATGCACAATCTAAAATTATATCCTGAGGACAACTCGAATCATATTTCCATTTACTTGGAAATAAAAATTGAGGATTTGATGACTGGTATGTTTGTTTTGTTTATCATTAAGTCATCAATTTTTTAATTAAAGCAAATGTTAATTTTTATTTAATTCTTTTAATAAAATATGATTTTTAATTCTATGTACATTTGAACATTCAAAACAATTTATCGATTCTACCGATTTTAATTAAAAAACTTATATAAAATCCCGCTATTGATCCAACTTTTACGTATTTGTATGAAACTAAATTTGATATTTTTCAATTAAAATCTGAAATCACTTGTTTGATTAGACTCTGTGAACACATTTACACTAAATAATCGACATGAAATATCTTGTCTAAAATCTTTTTACCACAATTTCTTTCTTTAATTGTAAAAATACTGTGTTTTTGTCTGGATTAATTTGGGTTGCCAACTATCGAGAGTCGCATTTAATTAATGAATGCTAACCTTGATTTTTGAATATTGTGGTTAATATAAATACAATCAAATTTTAGTGACCTGTCTAAATTGCAAACTGACATATATAGCGCTAGGTTTTGCTGGATTATGCGTGATACTGTACTTTGGAATTATTTTGGCTAAAACCCGGCATGAAGGTACGTATACTGACAGGAACGTATCTAAAAAGTCCGAATGATACCAGTTGATTCCTTTTGACACTTACTTAAAAAAACAACCCGTCTGTATAGTTTAAGAACAATAAAAAAATTTTTTGGTAAAAGAACAAATAGAATAAATTTATCAATGTATTTAGATAAAGATATCTAATAATAATAATAATAATAATAATAATAATAATAATAATGATAATAATGATAATAATATAATAATAATAATAATAATAATTATTATAATAATAATAATTATTATAATAATAATAATGACGACGACGACGATGATGATGATGATGAAAAAATAATGTATTACATAAAATAGATATCTAGTGTACGTTTCAGTTTAACCTTTTCGTACTTCCAATCATTTTGTAATCATGTTACATACTAACTCTGTAGCAACCTAATTTGTACCTGGTATTATCGTTATATGTGAACAAAGAATTATGAGTTTTATTTGTCGAATAATATTTTATTTTGTTTTATGACAGTTCTGACTAATGGTGGATCATGTGATGGTTGTAATCAGGCTCGTCAAACGGTTCGTTTATTGAGTTGTCGGGGTTATCAGCATGCTCTGTGTCTTCAATGTTTCAGACGTTGTCAACATTGTCCCGTGTGCCATACGTTGATAAGGGCATTCATTTAGAGTTTAAAAAACCTTTCATTTCAAGACATGCTTTTCCCAAAAAGATGTTCAGTGGATTCTTTAATTCGTCGATTGTATACAAATATAGAAATGTCATTTTAAGAAATGTACATAAAACTAAATAAGATTTCGATGGATATTGACCTATCACCACAAAAAAAATAGTGATCCACGAATAAAAATGATTATGCACATGAATTTATAACTTCTGAAAGAATTCATTTTTAGTTAGAGAATAACAAAATGCAATATGTTTAAATGATAATGACAGTCATGAAATATTGTATTCACGAATTCACAATTTCATCTTCATAAATTCACGAGTTCAGTCCTTTAAATGTTATCCTACATTAAAAAGAAGAAGACTAAAACCAGTCAGGAATCTTTTGTTAGCTATAACTTGGATCGTTTATTGTTTATTGTTTTTTTGTTTGTTTTTGATTTTGTTTTTTGTTTCCTTGTTTTGTTATTATTTTTTTGTGGTAAAGTAAAATAATATAACTCAAACCACAACATCATCATTGCTGTGAAAGAAAAGATATATGTATAAGGTGAAATAATAATACCGGAGTTACTTAAACATAATAAGATCTATACTTATCAAGATTGAAATTGATTATTTAAAGTCAATGTACATCAAATGTAAAAAGGATGATATTGGCATAAAATGCACTTACGAAAACACCGATTTGCATTATGACTTGTCGAGGAAGGATAAAAAAGCATTTAGCATGGCAAATAAATATATATTAAGACTCACCGTCATATCCGCTAACGTGCACGACTTTACTATACAAATCTGGATAAAGTTTGATTACTCGGAAGTAATAATCACAACAAAATTTCCTTTCAAAATTGCAGACTCGGTTTGATTGAGTCTGAACATGATAGGCAGTATGAATGTCCTGCTTTAGCAATATAATAAATGAATTAATACCAATTATATATATGCTACATGCGTAAAATTATAATTATAACTTCCTTCCATTTAATTTGATGTAATATTCTGGCGAAAATGTTTAAAGTTTAATCTAAATAGTAATCTCAACTTTGATTATTCTAATAAAATAACAAAATGCATATACATTGTATGGTAATTGCTAATACCGGTATCATTTTAACGCGTATTTTGACGGAAAGAGCCGAACAGTAACGATTAATAGCGTCTAACCTAAACAACAACAAACAAGATCTGATTCAAGTGATATACTTAAGTTTAACGTAATCAAGGTTTTATTCTTCTTTCCGATGCGCAGTAAGATCTTTCAGCAAAAATGATGACCAAAACTCAAGGTGAAAATACAAACGGAATTCAAAATGCACCTAAGGTAATATTTTCTGTAAATGAATTATACTTCCTTTTTAAAACGAAATTAAGTAGTGTTTAAGTTCATAATCCTAAGTTCAGGTCTGCTGAATTGAATTCTCGTTTAAAACGCGGTAGTTATATGTGGTTTAAAAATATCAGTTGACGTGTTTTAGCAAACAAGATTTTCGAATTGTCAGGCACTTTCATGTTTTGATTTTTTTTTTTTTTTTTTCAGAAATGTTTTCAGTATGTTTTCAGAAAATTTTCAAATTTTTGTTATCATTATTATCATATGCAATATATATGCCAGATTATACTGTTTTCATTGTTTTATATAGCAATTTTTATCAAATATCAAAACTTTCATTGAATGAAGTTTATCGACAATATAATCTACTTTGTTTGATAGTTTACTTTTTTATAATTATACTACTCTCAGTTCGCTACCTTGTTTTATTAAGAGTTCAGCTTTTCGTATCGGTGTAAGATATATTGCATTGCATTGAGAATTTGATTTTTTATACCAATGGTATAATAATTTGGGTTTTAAATCCATGTCTTTACAATTTACCAATAATGTGTTCATTGCTTTTAAAGCCTTTCAAGTTAAATGCTCATTATTAAGAGAAAAAATGCCTGTATAGCTGAACAGTAATAGTGGTCTACTACTTCTATTGTCTGACCGTTATAAGTCCATTTTTCGTTAATAAAAATACACCCTCTTTTTCTAAAGACAACAATTTTAGTTTTCACGGTATTAACCTCTAATCCCCATTTAAAGCAATATGTGTACAAAAGATCTAAACTATTTTGTAAATCTTCAGGAGTTTTAGCTACAATGGCCATCGTCAGCAAAAAGCAAACCAATATAATCAATCTTAAATCAATAAACCCTACATATAAACGTGCGTTTTATTTGTACAAATGTATATGTTCTTGAAAAAAGAGTGTCTGCAACTTCCCTAATTAAACATTTAAGTAAATTTATTTATAGTGTTGTTAACGGACTGTCGATCACTGGTATTTATTTTTGTAGTCAATTGATTAAGATCAGTCAATATGCCGATCAAACCCGCCCTTTAGGTATCCCTTAGGTTCGAATCCCATCTATAATGTATATCAACTTTCTCCTGTTGTACAGGTATACGGTATTTAGTATGCAATGAAAATTCTATAGGGGCGTGGTCGCTAAACTCGTTAACTTGATGAAAAGAAAAAAAAAGACTGATATTTTACAATGAAATCTATATAACTGCAACATTTTTACATGCATTAAATTTGGGTGCAGATAATTAAATAGTGAACATTGTTAAATATATTTGGAGACACATTTCTTTTTAACCGGTAATACTTTATCAAATATTTATTCAATATATATTATGGTAATATCCAATGATAATATTTCACGAATTTTAAATAATACGATGTGGAATTTTACTTACATTAGCACAAATGAAAATAAATCAAGAAAAGGCCAGGCTTTCACCGTTCAGAATTTTTTCGTGGGCTTTATTAATTAATTTTATAAATATCTGATAGGCTTAGTGATTTTATATATGTTTAAGTATATAACTTATTTGAAATTACTGATATTGTCTTCATTTTGATAAATATAAGGGGGTCAGTATACGTTTCCGTAATATTTATTCAACTTATATTCATTTCAAATTAAGTAGAATAGTTTTGATACTGTGAATCAGATCTTTGCAGTGAACTATTGTCAACATCCATCGTCACAAACCTAATTCAACTTTTGTTTATTTGACCGTAAAAAGAATACCAGTATTTACAAAATATATCACTACACAATATAATATTCTTTATTATACGTAGTCTCATCTATACATATTTAAAACATAGACAAACAATGCATAACCATATAAGACACATTTTGTCTAAATTCTTTTATTTTCGCCGAATTTACATAGCAATGCTTTATGTATATGAGGCATTAAACTTTGTAATGAAATAACTTAAATATTTCGAATGGAAATTGAAAGACTAGAGTTGAGAACAAAAATGTTAAAGACAATATTTATTGTCTACAACATTGACATATATAATACGCATTTAAAAAAAATTAAGGAAGCTAAATGATCGTGCGATACTACATTTTAGCTGCGAATACGATAAAATCTCGTTACACTAAACATTTAAGCTGTTGTGTTCGTATTAAAGTCATACAGATTATTTTAAAGCATTTTTGCCTTGATTATATCTCACGTATAGTTATGTTGAAACAAAAGAAAAATAACAAAGAAAAAACTTAACTTGTTAAACAAGGAAATGGTTCCGCTCAGGTGCCCGTTCGTGCCTGAAATAATGCACGGAAGGGCACCTGAGGTCTTCCTCCACCAGTAAAGCTGGAACGTCGCGATATGACCTATACTGTGTCGATGTGACGTAAAACCCAAATCCAACAAAAACAAGGAAATAATATCCATCATTTTTACAAGAGAGACACCTGTTTCTAAAAGCATATAACTTTTGAACTATTTAAAACAGTGTACACGTTAGACTTAGTGCTATTTATTTACATTCAATATATGTACTAGATGTTATTTTCATAACTATAGATAAAGACACAAGTAGTACAATTAGCTTAGATATCCCATAAATCCTTAGTTATAGCAGATAGCTATATTTGATATATTAGTCTCTGCCGATCCTTCGGCCAAAAACCGGCACTCGACGTACATCCATAATAAGCCGAGGTAAGCCACTGAACATATATTATCTTTAGAAATTAAAAACAAGTTCGCTATGAAGAATTGCGAAAGTGCTGTACGCAGGTAATACTGGATTCCAAAACCTTAATAGCCGCTTTATATTTTGTTGATAAAACTCGTGGACGATAACTTGCATATTCCATTCTAGTTCCGTCCATGAAAAGGCTAAATTAAACCGAGCTTGCAACATTTTCAATCTTGTCCTTTCGTGCGTTTTTAACGGATTCTTTATTTCTCTCTATTTTACTTGACAAAAAAAATTAAAATAAATGTGGATTAACGGATAAAGGAAAATGTTAAAATCCTTATTTACCATTTAAGATAATGAAAAATTAAAAAAATAAGGCAAACTATTTTGACTATTTCTTTTCAATACAGCGGATGGGCAGTCAATGCACATTTTCAAATCGAACATCCAAATTTATATTAGTATCATTGGTGTACTTAGCATAATACATGTGTTAAGTGAAATTAAAGTTATTTCTTTCTTGAACATGATGGCGAAGATGGTAAGTATAACAGCTATATAAGTTATAAAACCTATGGAAATGATGAAAAACTTCACCCAACTGAAAATACACAAATCATAATATCATACTATAATCAAAACGATTAAAAATATGAAAATTTCATCGACTGTTTTCAGAGATGGGTTTTCATAATCCTTATCGTGTTGGTCATTCTGGAGTTGTTCGCTCTGCTGGTTCTTGTTGCAATCTGGCGAGATCAAAGAGATGAACAGTTGGAACCTACACAACAGCAAATGTGTTACCCACGGGTCAAGTTAAACAAAGTTGATGATGATACAGATTGTCCGGAGGGACACGTGTCTAAATTTGATGAAGCAAAGAATGAAACAACCTGTTGTGGAAAACTGAGTGAAGTTTTAAATTTGATCTTGAATAAGGTATTTATTGATTAAGAAATGATTACCATAATAATTTTATTAGATCTATACTACACTTATACACATATATACATATATACACACTAAATATACAAAAGTACAATAATGAAGATCTTCAAGTCTTAAATTGGTATAGGTTATAGTGTAAATGTGAAAAGAGCTTCAACGTTAGATATTGTACTAAAATGTAAAATACAAAATATACATGTATTTTATAAAACGTTTTGCTGTAAGATAAATGTTATATTTCAGAATGTGTTTGACAGATATAACAGCAAAATAAATCCAGGTGAATATATTTACATTGTCAATTAAATGTATACAAAAAACACGAATCTGGTCATAAATATCTTTAATGATAAGAAGAGCAAGAGAAAATAATGCTCTCAATATAGTTTTTTTAAATGTCGATTTATGATAGACTTATACAGTTTGTCGTAAGACCGGATTACTATACAAGAAAGCGTTGTTACATCTTACTTGTACATCAGACATAAATACTTACTGTTTACACCGGTGCTAGAAAATACTTGTCTAAGACAAGTCGAGTTTTTTGTAATTTCATCCGAAATATAATCTTTAATTGATATGCAAGAAAAAGAACCAAACAGCAAGGGAATATCTAGCCCTCAGGTTACTGTTTAGCGTAAACGGTAACCCTCGAACCTTATATTCCGGCCGGTACCGGCAAGCGGTGTAGGATCTATATACTCAATCAATGAATACCAAAGTATCATTAAAATCGCTTTCTTTATTTCTATATCCGATGAAACAGAAATAAGAACATATAACCCAGAGGCGTTTAACTGTAAGGCAGCAAATCCAGATTTGTCAGTAACAAGACTAACTTTGGCACAAGACAAGAAATCAGGTAATTCTTTGTCTAATATCAAATGTCTAGGGAAAAAAATATGTCGATCTGATAGCAAATTTATCAAGATAATAATAATTAAAATAGATACAAACACAAAAAGCAGACTTTGTATTGTGTTAGACGAACAATATCTTAATCTATTGTTGATAAAGTTATAAGGGCTATTTGATAATATTTTATCACGTTTAGATCTACATAACAAAATCAAAGCACAGAAGGCGCCTTATTTGTTTGGGTCTCTGAATGTCAAAAAGGTGGAGGTTGTGAGACTACAAACCAATTGTTTTTGTATAGTGCAACCAATGATTTCCAGTGTTTAATTGCAACACTGATATTCAATTCAATGTTTTTTTGACTTAAACAAAAAAAAAATGAGTTGCCTTAACTGGGATTTGAACTCGAGACCTCTCGATTCCTAAGCGAGCGTGCAAACCCCTCAGACACGGTGACAATATGATAATGGCCTGAAGAAAACCATATTATTCTAAATTAGGGTTTGTAACTCTTAATTATTTCGACGCTAAATCTGTTGTTTAACACTGATGTACACACTGATGTACATAATCATGAAGTTTACTGTAAGCATGTAAATCTATAAGGAATAAAACAATATTAGAAATCTTCGACCATTCGGGAACTATTTTGCTAGAAAATTTATGCCCCTGTCATCCGAAAATCTTTACGCGGTGATCACCTCTGATCTTTTTGCGTTAGTGTACATATAAAGGGAAGTAACCGCTTCAAAAAAGCTGACTACTTTCGGCATTTGATCAGGGTCTGAAACTTCGCAACCATTATTTGTTTGGTCTGACGACCCAAACAAATAAAAATTAACATATGCTAAGCCTTATACACATAAAAACTTGCAATAAGATTTTTTTTAAACTTTGTGTGAAGTGACCTATTAATTCTGTACGGTATATCTGCTACTATAAAACAATTCAGCATATAAAACTGATGATTTTTTAATTTCATAAGCATCCTTTTGAATATAAACTTCCCAACAAGAAATGTAATCTCGGACTCTTGTGTTACAGACACAATGATACCCCCAACGATAATATCATGTTGTCCCTAGTAATGAAATACAATATTATGCAATATTTATTACATGTACATGTACATTCGTTTGCATAATCAAAGGGACACATCTGTCTTTGAAAAACATTTTATCTTTACAGAATTTACTATTTCGTAAATGTTTTCGACAGAATGGTAAGACGTGGGAAGTTGTGTAATTAATATCTTTTTTCATTGCAGTTCCTGTAGATTCGGCTCATAAATTGTATTGGGAAAGTGACCCTTCGTTGTCTAAAATTTCTGGATTAAGGTATTTGGTAGAAGATGGTCAAGTGTTTGTTGAGCAAACTGAAATATACCATATTTTGTTACAGCTAAAATTAAATATGAGCAAAACCACGAGTGTATTGGATGAAAAAATAAGGCATAAAGTACATTTTATATCTGATAGCGGTGCGTCAGCAGTTCTGCTGGAAGATGTGACGTCACCATGCACAATGAGGTCACATTCTGCAACAGAGAAAGCCAGCGTTGTTGAAGCCGTGTTTCGGCTTAAATATGGCGATCGACTTTATGTGACTACAACACATCCTGAAAGTATATTGACTGATCCACACAATAGTCATTTTAGTATATACAGAGTTTAAGTGCCAATGGTTCTATATTGGATAAATATCTCATTTGTGATGATTAATGTTAAGAGTAGATCTATATCTGATAATTCTAGATCTACTAATTCATGCACATTGTAGATATTCTAAATCATCATAAAAACGACGTACAATGAAATTGTGAAGTGTGTGAAGTGACGTATTAATTATGTACGATATATCTACTACAATAAAACAATTATGCATATAAAACTGATGATTTTTAATTTTCATAAAATACAGATACCGTATATAAGCATACTTGGAGATCTAAACAAAATTCAGCGATTGATTTTTTGTTGATCAAAAGTGGAAGTATATTGATTACTGTTGATAAAAGAATTATAAGATCTACATCAATTATTTAAATTTACATTGTTTTCTTTATTAATCATATCAATAATTCAAGAAAAATGAATAAAAAACAAAGACATAGTGATGATTTCACGCTTGAAATGTCAGTTATATACAATTGGGAGAAATCTGCGTCTTTTGACAGAAAAACAAATTCTGGGATTGAAAAAAAATCAAACAAAAAACTTAATTTCATTTCATTTTGGCTGACATGGTAGATCGAGCAAAGAAAATCGAAAAGCAGTCTAAACTTAAAGCCTGAATAGAGGCAGCAGCGACATTTGGTCAACAATAGTCCTTATAGTACTTAGCTGATCAAGCAGACAAGCTAAGAAAAGGATGGTTCACCATGTGACCAAAGTAACATTTATAAGGTCCCGCAGAAAGCAAAGGAGAACGCGGACCTTATCAACAATGAGGGAAACGATATATCGCCTGACAAATCGGCTGTGGCCATATTTACATTTTCAAAATACATCTGATTCAGTGGAAAATCAAATGCTTGTATCAATAGGCCTTCTGAAATTGTAACTTTGAAAAAAGTTTGAATATTTTGTCAATATGTTGTAGACTTTCATCGCATTTTTTATAGATTAAGACTGACTAAGTTATTTTTAAAATGACACCATACAGGCATATATTCTAGAATTAAAATTGACGAAACAAAATGGTATTGTTTATACTAGAACACTTCCGATATTGAACATGAATATCATTTCATGGCATAATTATATGAAGTGAATGAAATTATTCAAAAATAAAATGTGCTAGTGACGTCATAACTGAAACAGTAACATTGAGTTGAATATACCAAATGATCCAGATTCGTTTTGGAATGTGTTCAAATAAGAATTACGATACAATATACGTTACCATTGTACGTAGAATATAACAATTATACCCTGTATCTGATAAGATAGGAAGATGATTGATTGCCTAATTCATAACTTATCAACTGTACTTAATATTTTCAATACTTAAAAAAAAAAAAAAAAAAAAAAACAAAAAAAACAATAAAAGATAATAAAAAAAAACATATGATTTTCTTACCTTTATCAATGTTGACTATGGAATTTTTTATACATGTATACCTGTATGATGAATGTTTTAAATATTTATTGCATGTTTTCTTATAATATTTATTGCATGCATTACAAATATTACCCTGCAGAAAAAAGCTTGAGTAGGATCCGGATAGACGTTCCTAGTGTTATACCAAGTACATTATGGCAAAAGGGTAATTTTAGGAGAAACTTGATCTATTACTAATAGTAAATTTATCAGAATTGTTCACACAGTGTTGTACCTCGCCTCATGAGATCATATCCTTGTGAACCAACGCTCTAATTAAGAAAAACAAGTTCCAAAATAAAAATCCTTCTGTAATATTACTGTATAAACGACGGACCGGGTCGTACATGGCAGATGACTTCAAACCGCTTGCCTCTCATAGCTGTGGGTTCGACCCGCGCCAATGTCTTCGGATTCTTCTTGTGAGAGCGCTATCCTGCTAGCTTTCGGAAAGTCGGTGGTTTACTCAGATGGCAGATTTTGCCCGAAACTATAAACAGAGGGGAGCTGGAACATCACCATATGGCATATACTGTGTTGATGAGACGTTTAACCCAACGAAAATAAAAACGACGCATTAGATAATGTAATGAATCATTTACAGACTATCATTTTTGTACAGATAGAGTTTCAAATCTTTGTTTCAGAATTCAAGCACCAATTTTTATTTTAAAATTAATTATGGGTATTTTAGTTTTGCCATTACAATTTCTATACACTTTACAAGGAATATTTATTTACATGAATACCCGATATTGTAAGAGAGGCAAAACATGTATGTTTGCTGCCAGTATTATGCTCTCTATATGAGAGTTTTGTATAACAGTGAGAACTTTTTTACTTGTATTTAAAGCATAGACATAAAAGAACGGTAAATCAATATGGAATGTTTATAATTTAAAGAATTCATTTTACATTGCATTGGTTAAAATATTTATGTCACCGCTTAAAAAAGTTAGCGGTAGATTTTCTAGAAAATCAATAAATAAAGCAAAATCATTACATTTGTTGAATTATTAAACATTTCTGTTATTTAATTATCATGATATTTCAATTAACCGTCCAATAATGGCATAACAAGACCCATTTGAAAAAGACATATATCAAAAAAGACGTTCATAGAAAGTAATTGTAAAAACCATGATATCATTTATGATAGACAAACATTATATTATCATTTCATTATACCATTTCAGATTATTTGTATAATGTATGTAAACATGTTATAAAATACTTTTATAAGATATGCATGTATGACACTTATACGGTAACAAAACAGAACCCTCATCTATGGTGGCCGGTAGCGTCCACGTTAAAGCCGCGATAGATTTAACTGTCATTTTGTAAATGTCGCTACCAGCTTTTAAATCCGCGAGATTTTATGTCAAAATTGTATAAAATGTCGCGGTTTATAGAAACTCTCGGGGTTTTCTGTCACACTTCTGTGTCGAAAAAGTCGAGTTTAACAAAGGAAACAGCCAAATAGTAGACTAAGCAAGGCAAATATATGCCTCAGATTTTATGTCAAAATTGTATAAAATGTCGCGGTTTATAGAAACTCTCGGGGTTTTCTGTCACACTTCTGTGTCGAAAAAGTCGAGTTTAACAAAGGAAACAGCCAAATAGTGAGATAGGGCACCAAATAGGCGCTATTTAATGAAACATTTTTAATATGTTACAAGAATAACTCTAAGTAACACGCACGTAACACCAATGTAACACATATAAAGGATGTAACCCTTAAGGTCCTATACTTAATTGTGTTTTGAAATCAATTGTAAACATTAACTTAAAGTAGAAATGTTCATTACAATCCCAGTTGGCGTAACATTTGTAACAATGCTGTAACATCTATATAACAACCTTGTAACATCTATGTAACCTATTAATTCCGATTTCTGACCAATCTTAAGCTTTGTGCTGTAACACATGTAACAACCTGTAACATTTGTAACAATAATGTGTGGAAATTTTATTCCACTCCACACTCTCGTAACACTTGTAACAATGCTGTCACAATTATTAACAACCTTGTAACATCTATGTAACCTTATAAATTCCGATTTCTGACCATTTTCAAGGCTTGTGCTGTAACACTTGTAGCAACCTGTTACCTTTGTAACAATTATCTGTGAAATTTTATTTCACTCCAAACTCTCGTAACACCTGTAACAATGCTGTAACAACTACGTAACAACCTTTAACAGCTATGTAACCTTATTAATTCCGATTTCTGACCATTTTAAAGGCTTGTGCTGTAACACTTGTAACAACCTGTAACATTTGTAACAATTATCTGTGAAATTTTCATTTCATTCTCAACTCTCGTAACATTTGATAAAAAATATACGTCTTAAATCATGTTTTAACTACTTTCACAAATGAGACAAAATGGCTATGTTTCTTTTATTGCAATGGTGCTCGTAAAAAGGTCAAACCATTTATTTCCCGGTCATCAACGTTTAATTAGAACCAACTTTCTTTTGCAAATTCCAAAACTATGCCAGTTAAGACGAGACTATAAGTATAATCAATACACGCCAACATATGAATTCATCGCATCAACCAGCGGTAAAGTTAAATCTATTCATATCTATTTGTCAATTTTAGTTAAAACCAGTGACATACTTTTTAAGGGTTTAACAAACAGGCATTCGGGGTTTAGTTTTAAAAGCTGCCGACTTTAAATTCCACGCCTGTGTTTTACTTCAACAAGTGATTTCGAGTAATCTCAATCAAGCTTATTGAGAAGGTGATTCGCTTCTACTGCGGTGCTTAAGTTGCTGAAATAATAGGTATTCTTTTCGATTTTCATAATTGTGCCCACAGCAATTTCACTGGTAAAAGTTTACTTATGTATTCCAGTAACGATGCTGAAATAGTTGCAATAACAAATAACTGATAAAAAAAACAAAAAAAAAACGTTAACAATTTCTAGGAATCACGGTTTTGGTTTTTATTAAACTCTTAAAATGATAAAAAAAATGTTTAATCTTATTATTGTATCCTTCCAGTGTATTAATTAATAATTAAAAGCACGTAGCATTTTTTATTTACATCATATTAAGTATTCTCTGAGATAAAAACTAGTAGAAAAGTTTGTACATTTGTATATTAAAACGAACAGAGAAAATATGTTCATCATTCTAGATTAGTCCCAATTTTTTTTTTATATCAATGTTTTTTAATCATTTTACAAAATCTCAACAGAAAAACCTGCCATTTGTAAATTTTTAAATAAAAATAAAGTCACAAATAGTACTTCACTGAAAAAGTCTGGTGTATCATATAATTATCATACAAGAAAAACAATAAAATTGCAACAAACAATCAACGCAGGATAAGTTTTAAGGTTTATTTAATGATGATAACCGACGTTTAGACTCTCACGAGTCTTCATCAGGGTTATAAAATATCAGAATACTAGAAAAAAACATTGTATAAATATTGGGTATACTTTACGTCACGTGATTTGTTCTAAAAATATTTTAAATTATGTCATTTTGGGTTTACCCCATAATCTATATTTAACTGTATGCTTTTTAAGAAAAAAACAAACCGTAAATGGAATAAATGTTTATGTTAACGTCATTCAGTGTTTCTTTTTATTTTCTTCTTTCCTTTTTTTTACAACTTGGATGATGTCACTCAATTACATATGACAGTGAAGGCAGTGGTGTCTAAGTTTCTTGGCGTGGAGAACATTCTTTAGACATTGTTAGAGATTGTAACGTTCACGGTAAATACAAAGGCAATAACCAATACACTGACATCCCCAGATGATTTTTTCAGTACACTGAAGATTAATCTGAGAGAAAATGATGGAGGAGCTTGGTCCACAAAATTGTCTATGGATGTACAGGAGGAGGATGAAGAGATTTTGCCTAGTATTGGATGTAGTGGAAACATTCAAAACTTTGTATCTATCTTAAACTACTGTTTTGAACAAAAAAAGGATTTGTACTTTTGATTATATCAATATTTCTGTTGTCATAGTCTGTGGTCTTGTTCAAAATTAAATGATTTCAAAGACATCTGAGAGATACCAAATCTCATTTAAATAATTTTATGGACCACAGTGGAATACTAGTAGGAAAATGACTTGTAAATCAAATAGATTGGTGTGTACCAGTGAGACTTGCAAACTATAACGATGAAAAAGTTTCAATTAAAAACAAACTGTTATTGGCAACATGCTACCTACCGACGTAATACCAGCTTCAACCCCTGAACTGACACACTCTTTAGAGACAATTACGAAAGTAATGTTACCCTCTTCATTTGAGCGTTGCTCCACAGAAATGACAAAATAACAAAACACGATTTTTAAAATAAACACAATATACCATTGGCACCAGAGGAAATAATATATTATAAACAAGATCAATAAGGAAAGGGGGCGTTCAATGAACGCAGCCTCCACACGATCCTGCAATAAGAGCCAGTGGCAAGGAGCCCAGGAGGACCCAAACAAATACAGGACAGGGCACAAGGCAGAGCACGGGCCGGGTAATCACTTTAAACATACATTAGAAGAAATAATTAGTAACTGATAAGGGGAGCTCAAAGATAACAAATAAATTATTGATTAATAGGTTCATAAAGTCAAAGGGTACAAGGGAAGGGGACAGGAGACCCGGGAAGGGGGTGTAAATAAAAGAAATAAAAACTAAGGGCAAAGGGAAAGATACATACCGTAGAAGAGAAAACAACAAGGGACACAAAAGTGTCACCAAAACAGTATGAAACAACAAAGACAAGCATCTCAGGAACACAGAGAGGGGCCGCCTTGGAACGGTTAACAGCATAATAATGACTGCTGGGGAGTTTAAACCGGTAAATGGTGCACCAAACATCACTCTTAGCCCCATTATGATCCTATAAACGAGACAATGTAAATAAAATGAATCCCCGCAACGCAAAGTGAAATTTTAACAGTTGTGATGGTAACAAAAGGTGAAATGCTAAAACAATGAAACATACAAAAAAACCAATGACCATAACGAAAGTACTCTATGTTTTAAAGGAAGACAGAGCAGCAAATATATCACCTACAAGGGCCCGACGAAGCAAGACAGAAGACGAACATTAAGGCAATTCAGTACCAAACGGCTTTAAGAACTGTCCATCATAAGAGTCTCCCACTTGGTCCGTCAGATGTACATGTAATCAAAAGAGGAAATCGTAGCGTCCAATTGTAAATAGGTTGAACACTAAGCATGCGGTATGTGTTAAAATAGTAGGGTCATAACCCCTTTTCATAATTTAAGTAAAGCCAACAGAAAAATTACACTGACCCAAGATCTGACGAAGTTTGTAAGCAACATCCCCGTAAAATTCAGACTGGCTAATCCCTAGTCGCAGAAGTGGTTTAAGATCACTATTGAATTTTGAAATTAAATCAAAGTTACGGCTGTAAAATTTTGTAAATATTTACGTAATTTATAATAGCGGTAGCCCTGTTTGAGTTGCTTACCGGTAATGAAAATGTTTCGCTCACCAGTCCGTACACCACCTTATCGTTTACCAATAGAAACACGAAGAATAGCAGAACAAGAAATCAATACAATATTAGAACAATGTGTAATTAATCCTAGTTCTTCTCCTAAATAACGATTCCTAATACTTGTTCCGAATCCAGACGGAAGCACCAGAGTTGTAGTGTACTTTAGAAAAAATAATGCTAAATACAATACAACAACCATCCTCTACCAAAAATAGATACATGTTTAGAAGTTCATGCAAATAATAAGTATTTCGGTTCCTTAAAAATGAAACAAGTTTCATCAAATAAAGAGAAAGCCAAAACTTCCTTTTTATTAGGTTCAAAAACATGTAAGTATGCAAAATCCCTTTTGGTTTAAGCAATTTTCCAGCTGTACATAAGCGACTCAGGATTATTTTTTATCACTCATATAAATAAGGTGATATTGTCTGGTAGCATGAGGTAAAAGGTAAAAGTCTAAAATTACAGAGGTGATGGACTGGTTATTGTGAAGAAAGTAAATTAGTGCTTATTAGGTATACAGATACAACCTCGTGTACTCCATCATGTGGATTCAACAGCCTTCATTTTTACCTTTTACAAAGGGAGTGGGCGTGTTTGGACATGAAGCTGTTATAATACAACACAATAGAGAAAAATAGAATCCCTAAAGAAAGCCCAACACGGCAAAATTGAAAATTTTGCAGGCTCGGTTTGATTGAACCTGTTCATGGACGGTATTGGAAAGTGCAAGTTACCGTCCACGGCCCTAGCACCGGCTTAAGCAGAATTCAACATTTAAACACGAAAATGGTGAAATTTTGAATTTAGAAACATTCACAGAGTGTTCATAGACACGACATGAGTAAACAGATAATAGCCTCCATGGAAGAAAAATACAATTTCAGCCCAGAAACCACATCATGCAAACCAAATAAGACCTACAAAGTACGTAATCTGAAGATAGACACCGCTCACACAATAGCTAATAAACCTGCTACTGTTACATTTGAAACAATATAAGAAAACACTATTTTTATTTCATGCTTTTCGGTGGTTTATAGAAATATATCAGTGATATAAAACTGGTAATTTTGAAACAGTGAAATTACCACTTTGATAATTTCACTGTTTTGAATTTAAGCCCCGTACGGTGTTTCAGTGAAAGAAATACCAGCGTGCACAGTACTGGGTACCAACTTAATGACGTGACATCGAAAATGACGTCAAGTTGTATTATTATTTGGCGAGCTTTTCATTCAGTATTAGGTTTAATGTCTTTTTAAAACGTTTCTTTGCATATTATAAAAAGAAATTATCAAAAGAAATCTGTTAAGGTTAGTGTAAGATCGAAATATATTTCACCTTGTGAACATCATCGTGAAATATACCTTTTGGTGCTCACTCGGTGAAATATATTCCGATCTCACACTGAACTAAACAAATATCCTCTATATAATACACCAGCTCCAAAACCAATTGAAGACATTTAACAAACAGACAGCATAATATATCTTACTTTTAACTTTTTAGACTTTAGAAATGATGATAAGTTGGGGTGGAGGATTTTACTTTTCCTAGTAAATCATAATGATAATTTCTTTGACAGTTTACCTGAATCTCTAAATACAACTTTCTCAACCAACAGCACCAAACCCATGTGAAAAAGAAGAATTACCTGAACACATTTGAAAAGCAATTGACCAAATAAGGCCAGAAAATATTTGCACAATGATAAAATCCCCTTGTGTGTAATAGGGTAAATATTTAGACGGAACAAAACCTACATCTACATTTATCCCGTTTTCAGGCCTAAACCAGCGAATAAATCTTTTTTTTTTCAATTATCTCAAGTACTATATACATTATTTGAAGCGCGACATGATCTTTTAATACTCTTGCGTTTTCTTATAATACAATTGTATTTTACCTTCGAGTCGGCGAAAAAATGGTCCAAGTGAGAGAATTCAGCAGGTGCGCGATGACGTAGTATCCTACCATTGTATATTAACATACAAGAACCAGAGAACCAGACCAGATTGAACTCCAAACTCTTAATAGAACAAGATAAGTAAATTAAACTAATGTGTAGATAACTAGGAAACACCGGATGATAGAATCAAATAAAATATGGAAAATTCAAGATCATCAATGAATGCAACCCCCATACAATTCAGCAACACATGGCCATTTTAAAAATGAGTCTGTGTAAAGTGGGGGAACTAATAGTAGATTATCAAATATGATAAACAAGATCAACAAGGAAAGGCGGCGTTCAATGAACGCAACCCCCACATGACCCAGCAACAAGAACCAATGGCAAGGAGCCCAAACAAAAACAGGACAGGGCAAAGACAGAGCACGGACAGGTTAATCATTAAATCAAAACAACGTAATCTGATCGTTTATAAACGATAACATTGTCATTATATAGCGTTTATAACATTGCCATTATTTCGGGCTTCATTCCCGTTCTTTCTATTTTTTGCGGAAACAAAATCATGGTCAGTTGTAAGGGGTATATGTTTATAAAATATGATAAACAAGATCAACAAGGACAGGTGGCGTTCAACGAACGCAACCCCCATATGACCCAGCAATAAAAACCAGCGGCAAGGAGCCCAGGCGGACCAAACCTCTTAGCGGTTATTTTTAAAACGAAAAAGTCCTTTATGACTGAACAAAAAAAAATTCAAACATGTTTTAATGGTCTTTTTATATTCAGTAGGCCTTGAGATTATAGAACAATAAACATGTTAGTTTAGAATATATGAGTTATGTTAAAAAACATATAAAATGCTTAATAACGACAACAAGAAGCAATTATGTAAATGACTGCAGTTATGTGACATTTATAGCTTGAAATTCCAACAATATTTCTGGCAGACATGAACCAAAATTGGTTCATTGCCTGGAAATCTGTTCAGCAATAACGATAAATTGAATAAATTATCTAATGTTAAACAAGAAGAATATGCTCAATTAAATATCGTTTGTAAAACAAGAGGAATATAATGAATAAAATACTTTATGTAAAACAAAACGGATATAATGAATAAAGAATCTTTAGTAAAATAAGAATGTTGTAATGAACGAAGCGTTGTTTGTAAATCAAAATGGGTATAAACTGATAAACCATCTTATGTAAAATAAGAAGAATAAAGAATTAAAAAAATAAATTATATGATTTTCACTTAAATATCAAGGAAAAAAAAGTTAATTATTTGTATAAATAAATCAGTTTGTGCTCAGTACTGTAGTTTATTCAACAAAAGGGAGTACAACGAGAATAGTTATGTCGAATATGATGACAGATGAAACGTTATTTCTTATTGGCGTGTACAAGTTTGTGTAATTATAAGCATTAGATAGAGACATTTTACTCGATAGATATATCAAATGAAAGTAGGAAAACATCTGTGAGACTCATTTTGGAGGACAATTCTAATTTTTATAGTTTTAATTGGTGAAATCTTGAAAGAGGAAATAATACTTATGATTGAAGATATTTACAAAACCTTGAAGAGATCTACAAGATGAAAACGTTTAACTAATATAAAACTACAAAAGTTTCAATCAGACATGGAATCAAAATGAAAACCTGTCAATGAACCATTGTTCAAAATATGTCAAGAATACCATTTGGTGTCTTTAGTTTCAACCAAGTACCAAGTGAGTTTTTAAACACAATTGAGTAATAAAGAGCATTCAGATCAAATCAGTAGTGAACATAAGCACCGACGGACATAATGGATGAGGAAAATAACACTATTCAAACTAATTTAACAACAGAACGTTTTTTCAATAATGCTACCACAACTGATTTCTTTGATTGGAGCCTTCAAAACAGGAATGCATATTATGTCAACCTTATAGAACGTATTATAGCATTATTTGGTATCTTATTAAATGCCATAACAATTATAATGCTATTATCATTAGATGGTCGATTAAAGACACAGCTGAAACTCATTCTCAGTTTGGCAATTTCAGATGGCTTAGTAGCATGCTCCCATTTTATTTTGACATTTTATATTTTTCCCAGCGCATTGAAAGCACACAAGATTTCTGTTTTGCCTGTTTTAGAGAAAATAATTGTTAATACTGTATTGGCATTCTTATACACAGTATCACAATTTGCTGGTTTGGGGACAATGTGTGCAATTACAGTTGATATATTTATCAAAGTGAGGAAACCTTTGCGGTATAAAATATTGATGTCAAAAAGACGCGGGAACATTATAATACCATGTTTATGGGGTATACCGATCTTGCTATTGCTAACGCTCTCTGTTTTTGCTGTTTATCAGTTTAACATCACACTTCTTTCATATATGTACATGTACGGAAGCATATTGTACTGTGTGATTTGTCTTATTTTCTTTTTTATATGTATGCCGATTTACATCAGCATATTCTGTACCATACGGTCTTTCATGCTGAGACAACCATCTGCATATAGACACAGTACAAAAAAGACAGCCATCACGTTCCTTCTTATAATGGCTACCTACTTCATATGTATTTTGCCAAATATTGCATTTGTTTTAATTTTTACCGCTAATTTATCCTATCAAGAAAGAATGTTAGCCCTAGACGTTGCAAGTTGTTTATATACACTGAACACTGTTTTAGATCCAATTATTTATGCAACCAGAATCCCCGAAATTCGGACAAGATATAAAAGATTTTGTAACACCATGCATCCCTGTATACACCACTACTGAGTAGGTAACCTGGGGATAAATACTGAATTCTGAATGGTACTTACAGTTTCTTTGCATGGTGTAAACTAAGAAACGTTGTGAATAATAAATTATATGTATATTTTGAAAATTGTATCGTTATGTTCATGGTCAATATTTTAAAATAATGTGTATACTCTGTAAACTTTGTCTTTGCGCTCATTGTCAATATATAAGATAATGTATAAAATATACTGTAAAATTTTATCATTGTGCTCATTGTGAATATATAAATAAAGTGTAAGATATACTGTAAAATTTTATCATTGTGCTCATTGTGAATACATAAATAATGTGTATACTGTAAAAATATTATCGTTTCGTTGATTATAAATATATATATGGAACTTAAAGGGTTTTTTTTGTCACAAAAACATGTATCCCAACTATGCCATACTGTACCATGCTCAACTGTCATTTATGAAATCTGGTGAAGATGTTTTATAGTTGCCTGAGCGATAATATACATTTGTTTTCTGACGTCATTGATACAGCTCAATCGATCCAAACATGTACTTTTGTTTTCAATGTCTGTGTGTTTTGCGACATTTAGTGATTTCATTAATTCACTAACCCGTTAATGTTATGTTATGAATGGTATTTGTACACTGTTCTATAATTGACATTTTGTTTTGTTATAATTATCCTTTTAATTTGTTATGGTTTCAAATGTCATTTCTATTAAGTGTTATTTCGTCATTTATATGCTTAAATCATAATTAAATGTCATTTCCATATATTTAGCTCAATTCCCAAACAAGCAATTGATAAATAAAGACCCTAACGTGCATGAAAATAAATCATTTGTAAACTTGTTCTAGAATTCTAATAAACAAAAAAAAAATCGTGTTTGAGCGAGTTTTAACTAAAAAGGTTTACAAAGTGTTAATTAAAAAAAATGCATGTAGTTCAAAAGATATTCCATTATACTTATCTTAAGACAAATATTAAAAATATTAGAAATGTATCAAAAATGATAAAATGAAAGAAAAATTGAATATAATAGTAGTCACAACATTTTACACTTTGCTCGCAACAAATACTTGTATGTAATGGCATACCTTATAAACGACATGTCAATACAATAAATTAAAACAACATTTTGTATAGTTTATCCTAATCTGTAAAAAGTTAATCGTTCAAGAAAACAAAGACTTGACATAGTAAATTTTTATAAACTACCGAAATTAATATTTTTGTTTGTTTGTTTGCTTGGATTTTCACGGCACGTCAACACATAACTGGACATATCGTGTCGAATGCTATAATAGGCTTAAAATGTAATGTAAAACTTTGTAAATGACAATAAAAATGAGCCAATCAGATCCTAGAATACAAGTTTATCTCTTTCAAATAATCAATGATGTTTCTTGATGGAATTGTATTAAAGTGAATTTACAGAATAAAATCTATTACGGGCCTGTAAAAAATCATGTTATTCAAGAAGAAAATGGATGGTGACACATCAAGAGATGGGTTTATATCATGGAGTTGGTTAAAAACGGCATTTTTCCAGTTCGCTTTCCACCCAGCCGATACAAATTTATATATAGCCGGCCTAAAATCTCAAGCAGGTTACAATAAGTCAGTTTTTTTTTGAAAATTTAATGATTGTTAAGCTAAAGCATCTACTTTTTCAAATCCTCGTATACCTACCTGATTTAGAATCCAATATAAATTAACAGATTTTGTTTTAAGTATATTAGTATATTATGAAACCGTAAAAGAAGTTTCTTTATCACAATATTGTCAGAATTTGTATTTTTAATGGATATTAAAACAGAAAGCGAGTCAGAAAATATCCAAAAATTTATCATGGGTATGCTGTTCTATGTATGACAATGCTAAATCGACAGCTTTTGCTTCAGCAGTAAAATTGATGTATTATTTGGTAACCTCATACTAGATGTAAAATTATTTTAAAACACAGCCGCATCTACTTTGCAACCTTCTTTTGAACCGTCCGTATAAATATGTAACAAATCTTCATGTTCTTCCTTCATTGCTAAAAACCCTTCTTTGAAATGTTAAGGTGAATTTGATGACTTTTTTTATATTTTGAAGGTTAATATTTATTTTCAGGGAATTAAGAGTCCAAGGTGGAACATCATCATCGTCATTTCTGGATTAATTTTGAGTTTATCTAAATCATCTTTTAGACGAATGCCTAATGGTTTAATTTCCTTTGGTTTTTTTAACATTTTTTTCAGTTTATATCAATATAAAATTATAATACTTCTTAGTAAAATAATACATTTTAATTGATACCTTCTTTAAGCAATTTTCTGCCTAGCTTGTTCTAAGCATTACACGCAGCTGAATAAATCACAACGTGATTAGTGTAAAATTTCATGATACATATTTACCTTTTTAAATACTATATTACTTCTTCAAAAAATGCCACATTTAAATAGGAACGTTTTCTTGGAAATATTTATTTTTTAAAAGAATACATAATATATGTAAGAAAAATATCAAAGTTAAATGCTTTCAAAGTATTCAAAGCTATATATGTAACCTGATGTTAACAAAATTATTGTTTAGAGTTTAAAAGATTATTATTATTAGTATATATTAATTATTACTATAACTGTTTGAAAGCATGTAATTTAAAAAAAGGCCCATTATGTCCGAGAAATGCTTTTATTTTCATTTCTCAAACGAGTATATTTTAGTGTACTTTTATAGTTTCCAAAAGATGTCATTATTCAGTTATCTGAACAATTTTTCTTTCTGTTGCTTTTTTAAAATTAGTACACTTATAAAGTAATTTCAAATTATTACTTTAGTATGAAAGTCAAAAAACTACTTTGTTTACATTTTGCTGTCTTTATGGCAAATTATTTCTCATATGGTGGTACTTTATTCAGGTACTAAACATCTAACATCCTCAAAATTTAATTTGACATTATAACATTCACCTTAACGCCTAATTTCATTTCAAAGACATATTGTGTCTTAATGAGCCACAGACATAAAAATAAAATCATCGATAATCGCTTAACCCGTATTTTAAGTAGCTGCAATATATTTGTACGGAACATTTTATCCTACAGCGAACAAAAGAATGCTTGTAAAACAAATAAGTAAGTGTATGTTACAAGCCTTTCTGAAATTGACCTAAAATATTGAAACAACGTTATCTTTTCCTTCATAAACACATTATTCAATTGTTTTATTATCTAAAGCTTTATAAATTTATTATAGTGTACTTTTAAATTTAAAGAAACAAATTTATAGTTAGTTATAAGCGGTAATTTCGATGGTTTTCGTTTATAAAACCTCTTAAGGGTCATTTTTAACGAACAAAAATGTTCTTGGTAACTGAATATGCCTCGAATATTTTCTTTTGGGCATTAAATTGATAACAAAATAGAGCACTAACAGTATGTTAAAGTTAAAAAGAATTGAGTCGTAGCTAACCAATATGAGGATCAAGAATATATACATAAAGTGAATTTGGAAAAATATATCAATTTAGAGTACATTGTTATTGAATAATGCATGGTTTAAGTTCGTATATCATAAGGCCAATCTGCCTGAGGAGTGATTACTTACAAAGTGGTAAATTGTGCATTATTATACAGTCAATTATGAAAGAGAATTTGATATCTATTGCCATTATTACATGCTTATAAAACTAACAAGAGCTGGTTGAACCGGTTGATGCTCCCCGAATGGTTTTTGGACACAGGAAGATATACCTCTTGTAGTGTCACAGACAAAGTTCAAAGTGTAAAAACAACCCTGTAAAAACTATTTTGTGCACGACACATTGTCTCAATATGGTGATCATTTCTGTGAAATAGTTGTAAAATCCGACTTCAAATAAGGAAGTTATGGCCTAGACAAGATTTTTCTGCAAGGTCATGCTGTGACTTAGACCTCAAGGCAGCGACCCAAATGTTGCATGCGACACATTGTCTCAATATGGTGATCATTTCTGTGAAATAGTTTTAGAATCCGACTTCAAATAACAAAGATATGAACCGGACATGATTTTGCTGCTAGGTCATGCTGTGACCTTGACCTTCAACGTAGCGACACAAATGTTGCACGCAACACGACATCTCAATATTGTGATCATTTCTGTGAAATAGTTTTAAAATCTAACTTCAAATAACGAAGTTATGGGCCGGACATGATTTTGCTTCAAGGTCATGCTGTGACCTTAACCTTGCGCGCGACACGTCGTCTCAACATGGTGATCATTCCTGTGAAATAATTTTTAAATCCGGCTTCAAATAACACAGTTACGGGCCGGACACGAATTCGGGACGTACGGAGGTACGTACGGACAGACTGACGGACGGACAACCCGACGACTATATGCTCCCCGAAATTTTTCGCATAATTAAAAGGAGAATAAAAACAAATATTGTTAACTCCATTTAGCGCTGAAGTAATTATTATGACATCAACTGGTTCATATATGGCGTCGTATGACGTTCGAATTTTATGGTATGCATACATCTTGTACTATTGCATTTGACTGGCCTATCTGTTTGATAAAGCAATAATGTCACGCGTGTTAGAATAAAGCTTTGCAAACCGGAGTATACAAGCTAATGAATATTCTATCTACAATACAACGATTTATGTGACATTCCAAAAAGATTTTCCTTTTTGGCGTCGGAAAACGTTTTTGTACTGACATTTAAATGTGGGAGAGAAAGGCAAGCTGTGTAATAGCGATATGTGTAGCTACAAATAAAGATACCCATTAGAAAAAATATTGATATGACATCCACTCGTTAGTTTGGTACATTCACGTTACAAAAATACAATTGCCAATATCCCCGTTTCTAAACACTGTTTGACATTTATTGATGCATTGTTAACGTATCCAAGACGAAAAACAACTGGTTATTTATCAAGGTATCTGAAGTGTCCACTATTATTTTATGAATGAGACATTTGATTATTTGTCTAAAAACAATGTATTCTCTTGTACTTTAATGATAGCCTATACGAATATAATTGTGAGAAGGATCATAAAATTGTTTATCTTAAGATATATTAGGCTCTGTATAATAAGCCCTAACGTTCAAGATGTAAGTTAGTGGACAAATGGAAAATAAACTTATTACTTCTTTCACTGATCTTGATGCCATGCTATTTTTTGTTTGTTTTTGACTTGCTAATAATTCCGAATTTTTTGAAAACGCAAGATTAATCTTCCTTTAAATATCCGCAACATCGAAATCAATTATATAAGAGATCTATTGCGAAAAAGATTAGTTCTTGGGCGTTGTCAT